TATATATATATATATATATAACTCTTCTTAATTAGTAAAATAAGATTAATAAATTCTAATAAATTAATTAGGCCATTTTTTTTTTTACTGATAGTTGGTATCTATTTATTTCTTAAAGTCAATGGAGAAATGAATAAATAAATTCTTATAGAAAAAATACATGTATATTAACACACAAATATTTATTTTTAAGACACTAACTTCTCTAATATCCTATTCATTTAATATATATAAATAAGACTTCCAATCTCCCAATATGTCCTAAACTATTAAAGAGAACACATGTCTAATAGTTTGTAATATCCTTTTAATAAAAGTGGAGACATTTTTCAAATGCTATGAACATTTAGTAACAAGGATTATACTTTTCAAAGATTTCACGAAATTTCATAAAAGCTGACCGCAATTTTATGGAAGTTTGTAACGCCTTTTGGATAAATATAATATAATAAAAGATTTATATTTTTACTCAAATATAGAAATTAAGCAATAAAGTATGCTATTTTTTTATATATATATATAAAAGAGTAAACAATAAAACAAACTACGGAAGTTGACAACGAACTGGAAATCCAGGAAGAGAAATACCTTATCCAGTTAAAGTGTGTTTAATTGGTGATCTGAAAATAATAATTTAAAATCAAGTTATTGAATGAAAAAGTACAATTTTATATTTTATTTTCAGCATTTTCGGATATATATTTGATAGTAAATTTAGAAATTGAATCTCAATTTTAAAAGTGGATCAATATGTGATTAGTAATACATTTGTAAACTAGTGTGATAATTACCAATTAAATATTTAGTTCAATGTAAGATAAAGAAATATAGAAGAATTTTCATACTATAATACTAAAAACTTCACTCTTTGGTAAAGTTGATTCTTCAACATTCTTATATAGACACTAAGGATTTTGTTAAGAGAGTAAATTTTGCATTCGAGGAGTCGGAGCTCTCGACAAAACTTCCTAGAATGCATAAGATTTCTTTGTCTGAAAAAAAAATATTTTTTTTTTAGTATGATGGGAGTATAGACGACAATTTCCTATACTACTCTCATTTTATTATAAATCATCTCAACCACGTTTGAGGGTACATAATTGCAGGAGCATTGGTTTAATTTTCAAAAAATTTCTAGTACTCCCACGCTATCTATTTTCCTTTGTTCATACTATTTTATTATTTTCAAAATATTAGTTTATGATGGCTTGAACTCGATTTTCATCGATTTGGTTCTTGTGGTTTAAAAGGTTGCATTGTAGACCTTATAACAGAGATGTCGAAATTTTTTTAACATGCTCTATGTAAGGATAGAAATGCGCCCTTTGAATCTGAATTTTTAGATTTGAATGTTAAAACATGAAAGGGTGTGCTTAAACCCAAGGTTTTTGTGGCTACATGGTATGGTTTGATCAATATGAGAAATAAGGGTTGTAAATTCTATTTTGATAGGTTTTAATCAAAGTTTATTGTCAACTTTATCGGTTTCCATGAATTCATTTAAGGTTTGTATTGGGTTTGTAAGGACTGCAAAAAAAAATTATGAGTATATATTTGAATGATAACATCTCCATTAGTATGAGGTCATTTGGGTAATTTCAAAAGCAAAATTTTAAGAGGTCTAGGATTCGAATTGACTCCGATGATACTTTAGTTTGACACTAATTTTGACTATATACATATAAAATTTTAAGAAAATGAAGTCTTCTTAAAAGTAAAAATTACTTTGGAGACCAATTAGGAAGAAGCCTTGAATTTATATTTTGTAAGTGAAGAAAACCCAATGTTGTTTTTTAACCTATATATATTGTGTTACTCAGAAAGTACAATTGAATTATAGAAATTAGGTGGACAGTTTTTAGCCAATATGGTTGGCTGCCAACTCTTCTTCTTCAGTTCTGTCTTTCACATTTTACCCGAAGAAAAAAAAAACAAAATAAATAAAAAATAAAAATCTTGTGTGGGACCATGGGAAGCCTGCCACGTGTGTTGACTGTCTTGTATTAGCGACCGGACACGGCATTTTTCTGTCGGGTAGAGAAGTACAAACGAAGATTTGGCAATGGCAGATATATCCATTGAATCCAGTACAGTGTCACTTTGTTTGGACCATGTGTGTGTGGTGGTGAAGGCTGAGAAAGAGTAAAAATATGTGACCGTTTTTCCCCATGGGTCAATGGTCAAACCCCGATTAAGTTTAACTGGGCGATGATAATTATTTTCATTAGTTTGAAGTCTTGTTGGTGAAACTAGAAACAAAGCTGTAAGGGTGTTTCTCAAAATATTAATATTAATATGGTTCTATCTCAAAACTAAATTTTATAAGAGGAGTAGTCCATGTCTATTATAAACTTACATAAGGTCATTTTTTTTTTTTTATCAATGTGAGATTTTTAACACAAAGCAGACAAGACTAGATACTCGGAGTACATGAGGTACACTTGTCCTTAACATCGTGCAACGTAAGGAAGAAGTGGATATATAACTAAGATTTAGATAGTTAAAAGTTCAAAGATTTACTAGAGGTATTGAGTGTCATGTCGTTTAGACACCTGATGTGTTAATAGTGCAAGAGAGCATATGATGTGGTATCGAGGACAATTAATCAATCTTGACATTAAGGTCTGGATGGAAGAGTGGTTGACTACGCATGCACAAATGGAACGGTAAGGACGAGATAATAAATTACAAGTTTAGTATCCTTGAACTTTTAGGATCGTGTCTAATAAGTTCTCCAAGTTTAAAAAGTCTCAAATTTCTAAACTTTCAATTTCGTGTCTAATAGATCCTAAAGTTTAAAAGTATACAAAATAAGTCACTTGACTTTCAATTTTATGTCTAATAGATATTTGAACTTTTTTAATTTTTGTGTTAATAGACCTCTGATTTATATAACATTAATTTTAAATTCTTAAATTTGTATTGAACATTTTATCTAACAATAGGATTCAACCTTTCAATTTTGTGTTTAATAAGTCTCTAAATTAAAAAAAGAAAATTCTAATAATTCTTCAATAGGACAGAATGATATTCGAAGAGCTGGCCAAAGTTTAATTTACCTCCCATCATTAAAATCATATTTTAAAAGTTGGGTCCCAAATTAGTTGAGAAAGATTTGTCGAATGTAGACAACCCTATGAATTAATATATCATTGACTTATCTATCACAATTTGTCACCTATTAGTCAAAGTCATTGGACAGACCAATTAATATATGAATGAGATGTGCATGTAGAAAGAATTTTCGTTGATTAATGTAATTATTTGTTGACATTTTCATCCATGTGGGTATTGGGACTTCATCATTTGATATTTGTTTGTATATATGATGGGAAAATGCTATATATCACCCAATTTAGTTCATCCATGCATTCTTAAAATTATCTTGAATCATCTTATTATTATATGATATTATTTTATTTTGGTTAAATTGATATTTTTAGGACGTATCAAAATCCTTTCTTTTAATATTTATAAATTTGATATAGAAATGATGAGAGAGGAGACCAATATAGACTAAGCATACATTTACAAAACAAAAAAACAAGTTGATATCTTTATTTTACTTCAAGCATGTGTATTAAAATATTGATATGGATACGTATTAGAGCCATATAATAGGGCTACGTATAAGTGTCGGATGAGATATTAAGAGGTAGATTGATAGCAATAAGAAAACAGTGTTTTTTTTTTAATTTAGAAACTAAAATAAATATTCTAATAATTTAGAGACTAAAATAATTATTTTTAATAAAATTTCAAGACTCAAATTGTTATTTTAATTATTTTTTTAAAAAATAGTTTTGAAATTAAATTTAAATTAAAAAATTGGTTAAAATACCATTTTGGTCTCTATATTTTCAAATTTATTTCATTTTGATTATTCTTGTTCATTTCAGTCAAATAATTTCTAAAATGTTTGTTTTGGTACCTATATTTTTAAAATGTGATCCTATTAAATCATTAATTTTATTTTTAATCTCATGTTTTCTATCACAATTTCTACCCCATAAATATATTTATTAAAATGTAATAATGACTTTAGATTAGATGATTTCTCTCGTGTGTTGAAAGTTTAAAAATGGATTAAAATAATGAGATTAAAATTAATATTTTAAAAAGTAAAGAAATTAAAATTAACTAAATTATTATTTTAACTCAAAGGTGATGTGGGACCCGTGAGAAGTAGATTGTGTAAGAGCTGTAGAATCAGGCGGAAAGTCTATGAAGCCTTTGTATGAATTGAAATAGAAAATAATAATAATTTATTATTATTATGCGATTTTCGGAAAAATCTGATCTTCCCACTCCCACACGCTGCTGTGTCTTTCAACAAGATTGTCTTCTATAATCCATTTGATTCTTTCATTTCAAACAAATATTTATATATCTCATGCGCTTTAAATATATTGCACATTTTTTAGCCGTTTAAGTTTTTAAGTATGTTTTATCTTTAATCTCTATCATTATCATCCTCATCCAGTGCTGAAAAGGTAACATAATACAATACTATTTGGGCCGCTTAATAGTTAATTGCACTCATAATAGTTATGGTAAAATAATAGTTTTACTCCGAAGTCCCAACTCACGTTAAAAACGATATTCACCGTGCAAGTTTAACTTAGGTAAAACAAAAGCTTGGGTGTCGAAAATCAAAATCAAAATCAAAAGGACGGCACGTGCGAGATAATGTACTCACCGACGCGCCCCAAATAGACTTGACTTGTCCCGTTCCCACTCCCACTTTCCACACTTTTTTTCTTTTTTTAATTCTTTTGCAACATTTATATATAATCCCAACTTCTCCTATTTTTTTCACCTCCCCATTTTCTCTCCTGCGAACCCCATGGCCGGAATCGGAACCGCCCAAAACCACAGCTCCGACCACTCACTCTTTCGCACCTGAAAAAACAAAAACAAACCCCCCTATGGGTAGAGCCTTCAAGTGGTTCCGCGGCCTTCTGGGTCTCAAAAAACCCGACCCGACACCCGAGCCCCCCCGGCCCAGGCCCAAATGGCGCTTCGCCAAGTCCTACAGAGACAAGCACAAACAAAGCCTCCCCCAGGACGACCACGCCGTCGCCGTCGCTGCCGCCACGGCTGCCGTCGCCGAAGCCGCCGTCGCGGCCGCCCAGGCTGCAGTCGCCGTCGTCAAGCTCACCAGCAGCGGCCGGAGCGTGGCGGCCTACTTCCACGACGGCCACTGCGACTGGGCGGCGATCAAGATACAGGCTGCATTCCGAGGATTTCTGGTTAGTTTTTTATTTTTTATTTTTGTCAATAAATCTCCATTTCGTTTAGAATCTCAACTAATTAAAATCTTGTTGACATTGGGATTACCAAAAAGAATTTTTCTCTTTTATTTTTTATCCTTCTTTTTTTGAAAAAGCAAAATCTTAGCTGTTGGGTGTCAACGCTCATCCATTCACAAGTCACATCTCCAATCAAATCAAGGAAAAATATATAATTAAATATTTGTTTAAGTTCTAAATATTTTAATATTATCTTTAACATTGTTAACAATGTTGAAAATCCAGCTTCCATTTAGTTGTAGCTCCTAAACGTACATTTTTTTCTTCTACTTTCAAGTTTATTTGGATCGAATATTAAAGACTTTTGCTGGGCATAAAAAGTTTGCATTAAATTTTGAAAACAGAGAAAAAAAATATGGTCCTTACCTAAAAGTATAAATACCCTAATAAACTACCAGAATAAGACATATATTTTGATGGATAACTATTTTGTTTTTAATTTTTAAATTATTTTTGTTTATGTAAAATATGACAAAAAAAATTGCAAGAAAATAAAAAACAAAACTAAATCATTATTAGGAGAGATCTTTTTCAAAGTGAAAGAACAAAAATAAACAAACAAAACATTGAATACATCAATTAAAAAAACCATTAATAAAAGATTGGGCTTTATTTTAATAAATTCTAAAATGAAAGAAAGTTTTGGAGTTTGGACTTTTGGTTTGGAAAGGGAAGGATTTGTTTGTTGTATTGGAACATGAAAGTTTCTAGGGACGACGTCGTTTTAATCTGTGGAGGGAGATTAAAAATGAAAACGGTGTCGTGTTATTTGATCTGAAAAACCGTGTGGGACCCGCTCTGGAGCTCTGCCACCTGTCCCTTCAAAATCCCTTCCAATGGTGTAAGGTGGAAGGGAGCTTTCACCATAATAATGCTCCGGATTCTCTCCTTCGTACTTGTGGAGTATCCTGATTTTATTTACTTATTTTTAGAAACCCATAAAACAAAATTATAAAAAGGAAAAAGAAAAAAAAAAGTCGAGATTGCAGATGATGATGTACTGTGTGTTGCTATTTTGGTACTCTGTGCTCTCCCTATTTACTCTCTGAAATTTTTACTTTTAAAATCCACGGTGAAACTTCCCTTTCTCTTTTCTTTTGTCATATAGGAATAAAAAAGTGGCTACTTTTTTCCTTGATTTGGAACTCAGAGAGGGACCTCTCTCTTCCTCCCTTTCCAACTCCATTGGAGGAAAGCTTGGTCCATTCAACAATGAACTGTTTAGTACAACAATTATTTGGAAAAAGGGAAAAACAAAAATAAAAAAGTTATTTAATTTCTTACTTTTTGTGGCTTCCTCGTCAAAATCATAATGTGAACAAAGAGAATAGATATTGGACATGGTTTCGAAAGTGGATAACATTAAAATTAAATTAGAATTTCAGGGACCCAATTGAAATATTATAATAGTTGATTGGTCCCAAGGGGTTGTTCTGGTGGCGTATGAGATGCTCTCTAGTGGGGTTTGGAAGGAAATGGAATTAGGCTCTGTTTGGCTACAGTTTAGCGTCATCCTTATTTGGATTTATTGGAATATATAATATAACAATGTTGGAAACAAGGTTAGTTTTGGCATATATGGGACATTATTGACATGTTTGGGGGTTGGTTCGGAGAATTTAATGCTGTACTGTAACTGAACCCAAAGAAACCTTTAGCTGTACGAAGGCATGGCTTCCTGTAATGTACTTTGTCTTCTTCATGTCTTGCCAGGCTTTTATTTTTCACCTGAGTGAGTAAAAATGGCTGACTCTTCTTCATTATCGTCTTTCTTTCAACTTTTCAACTTTTTCATTGCTTGTTCTGGATAATCTGTAGGCGAGGAAGGCGCTGAGAGCGTTGAGAGGGTTGGTGAGACTTCAGGCTTTGGTTCGGGGCCATATCGAGAGGAAGCGAACGGCTGAATGGATACAGCGAATGCAGGCGTTGTTAAGGGCACAGGCACGCGCACGAGCAGGGCGGAGTCAATCTTCTGAGGTTTTGCATTCAGAGATTAAGTCTTCTAGCTTCTCTCCTCTGGTAAGTTCTGTTTATTACAAATTTAGTTTCTAAACTTTAAACCGTGTCTGATAAGTCAGTATCTAATAAGTCATTGAAAACAGGATCCAGCTACCCCAGAGAAATTTGAACACAGCCCACATACTAAGAGCAGCAGGTTTAAACAGATGCAGAGGAGTGGGTCGAGATTCACAACTATTGATGTTGAGAAGATTGATAGAATCCTTGAAATTGAGAATGAGAAAACTCACTTCAGATTGAAACCCAAGAATCTGTTTAGTTCCATCAAACTTGCTCTATCTTCTGAGCTGCCTTCAAAAGAGCCTGCAACTGCAGCTTATCATTCTGTTGTGCTCACTCCATTTTGCTATGAAACCCAATGTTTTAGTCCATTGAAATTCTCTCATGAAGTTGAGGAGAGCTCCTTCTTCTCTGTCTCATCGAAGGGTGCTAGTACAATAAAGAAAAGCCCCTTCACTCCGACCAAGAGTGACAGTTCGAGGAGCTATTTCAGCGGTGACTTGGAACACCCAAGCTACATGGCCTGTACTGAATCTTCAAGAGCCAAAATTAGATCTCACAGTGCCCCTAGACAGCGGCCTCAGTACGAAAGATCGAGTTCGGCAAAGCGGGGCTCTGTGTATGGCTTTGGGGAATCAAGATTGACTGCACAACAGGTATCAACATTGCAGTCGAATTTTGTTGGGAAAGCCTACCCCGGTTCTGGTCGCCTGGACAAACTCGGGATGCCTGTGGGTTACCAATACTGATGCTTTCTAATTTCTCATTCCTACCCCCTCTACTTTACAAGAGTGGTAGCCTTATCTTGCTAACTTATATTAGTCGTCCTAATAATTAATATGCAAGGATCGGATTCAAACTTTGACACCCGAGGAACAGACAAGTTTTCAGTCTTAGAGGCTAGAACTAGAAAGACATATCATTGTTCTTAGAATTGAAGTTTTTCATGTCAGTAGGTTTCTTTATCCATGGTAATGTATGTTCTGTTGTTCTGTTTCTATCATGGTTTTTTCTCACCGACCCCAAAAACTAACACGACTATCTCTCAAGTTCACCAAAAAAGTTTCAGAAGTGACATAATACCAAAGGACTAAAGACAACGGGAGTAAGAACCAACAAATAATCAATCTTATTAAACCGAAGCAGATTGTCTATCTCTACAGTAAACAAGATGAAAGAGGGAAGGGGGGAAAAATATATCATAACTCATAAGCCTTGGAAACTATTTCATATACATGAGCAAAAAGGAAACTAAAACCTGCGGAGAGACCAAAAACTGAAGTATAGAAGTGTAACTATGTACACACAAACCAAAAGTGGCTAATTCCCACAGTCCCATTTTGAGGTTGGCACACAACTTAGGTAATGGCACCAGCTGCAGTGATCGTTACCATTCTCACCTCTGAACAGCATCACCAGCCCCACAGTAAAGCTGCAACGAATCAACAACATAAATTAGCTTACTCAATTCAAATATGTCGTTAACGAGGACCAGTTGGATACTATCAGATGCTATTTAGTTGAAAGAAACGTGTACTACTACTATATGGAAAAAGCTAAAGGGTTTGAGGTTTACCCAGCAACTAGTAGAATTGCAGCAGCCAACCAGAGAATGTATTGGTAAGTTTTGTACTTAGATACGCGGCGAGCACTGGGTGGGAGATGGTGGCGTTCTGTCCATTTAAACTGGGGTCGGATAAGAAACACAAACCCGAGAAGGAATCCTGCTAAGAATCCTCCGATGTGGGCGAAGTTGTCTACGTGAGGTAGAATTCCGACTGCCAAGTTAATTGCTACGATAACGATGAGGGTGAAGAATGCAGCAGCCTACAAAAACATGAATTAGATTATTAGATTTGGAAATTCGTCACAGTAAAGCTTCACAGAGACAACTATCACAAATGCAAAAACCCGAAGTTGAAGTCAATGACTGGCAGCAAACCTTATTTGTGTAAATCGTCCAGTTCGTCAAAAGCTCGGATAGCATAGCTCCAAGAAGTCCAAAGAGGGCACCAGAAGCTCCAACAGAAATATTGTTTCGGATGAACAGGGAAGACATCGTACTCCCACCAACTCCAGCCACAAGATATATTATTCCAATTCGCACTGAAAAAAATTAAAAGATGCTCAGACAGGGAAGGAAAGTATGAAGGGAGAAAATAAAATGTGAGTAGTTAAAATTTCTGCCATGGGAAGAGAAATTTCGTCCCATATTTCCCCAAACCTTTTGTTCGCAAACAGTTTGAAGCTAACACTCTTGCTGTACTGTTGGAATTTAAAGTGGAGGTCTTTTTAAGTTCACGTGCATATGTAAATGGATGTGTGCATATGTTTATTTGATAAAAAAAGCTCATCATGGGTAATTCAAAAACTACACACCATTACTTAGCAAGCAGAAAATGTTTTTTTTTTTTTAACAAAAAGCTCGCATGGGGTAATTGTAAAATTCAACACCACCTTCCTAAAGGGAAAACAAAAGAAGAAATATTGATTACATTCGACTACTCTTTTCACTAAGACGTACGGAACATGGTGCAACATCTAACATGATTTGGAGTTCAAATGTTGAAAACTTTACAAATTGAAGCTCGCAAGAAGGGAAAAAAAAGGAGACATACCAAATCCAAACTGCTGCTCAAGGCGGATCCCAATCAGAACCAAACTCAACATATTTGCAAGAAGATGAATGATTCCAGCGTGCAGCCAGATACATGAGAGAAGTCGCCATCCTTGATGCTGATGAACAACCCTGTCCCACTTCAGAGCTCCCAATTTCTCCAACCTGCAGAGGAATAAGGTTGTTTAAGCCAATGGGTTCAATCAAACCCAAATAGGATCCAATCCACAGAATTCCTTAGGAGCAAACCGAATTCAGAAGTATGCAGAGAATCAAACTCATGGGAATTAAAACTCCATGAAAAGGAAGAGAGCAGAAAGAAGACATACGTAGAAGAAGAGGGTCCGAAGAGGGGATTCTCGTTGAGAGGCTGAAACGAAAATCTGCCGAGGAAATTGGCGACACACTTATCTCGAGAACCCCGATTGTTGTTGGTAGGGCAATTATTGACGTACATGACCACAATAAACATAGCGACATTGGCGACGACGAACATAGGAATCAGCCATGGCGTCCATTGCTTCTCAGAAGTCTCTATGTAGTAAGGAGAAGCTGAATAGTTCCGATTTGGGTTAGTGTTGGCTTGATTCTTAGCCGCTCCTCGCTCCAGATCTTGATTAGACATGGCCGAAAACTGTGTGTTTCTGTGAGTGGGTAACGGAATTGAATTGAAGGGGTTTTTGAAGGAATTTTTGGATGAATTGTTGGGCTTTGTGAGTGGGTTTCTGGTTGTGGTTGGTTCTTCTTCTCTTATACGGAGCAATCGGTGGTGGGGTTACTAAAATGGAATGGCCTGGCCGCGCTTTGGGACATGGAGAGAAATTTACAGGCTACCCCTTGGCCTTGGGGGATGACACACGGAACAATCGCAGAAACAGCGGAACTCAATTTATTCTGCAAATTTGTGTTCATTTTCTTTTTTCTTTTTTCTTTTGCAAATTGCAATTAGACGTTTCCACTTTTCAAGACGTCATTTTAGAAGCACAATTATCCTTCCACGTTCATTTTTTCATTTCCTTTTTTCCTTTCGTATAAAATATTTAATTAAATTACCCAATTATTTCCTTTAAGTGAAGTCCAAATAACTTAATTACTAAATTAAATTTTGATCGACAAAATCACATAATTAAGTTGAGGTGTGTAGTTAGTGCTGAAAAAAAAGAGATGAGGCATGTGTGTGAGGATTAGTATTATCTATGAGCTTTATTTAGTTGTTAGTGGACAGAAGAATATTAGGTGATAGAATAATTAACTTTTAAACTTGAGAAATTAAAAGAAATATTTTGAAAAAATCAACGCAGTCTAACTCAATTGATTAATATATATATATATATATATATATATATATATATATATATATATATATATATATATATATATATATATATATATATACTCTTTTAATGTTAGGGGACTAAAATAATTATGTGGACAAAAATGGAAGAAATTGGGAAGTCATGAAGCAAAGTTGAAATTTAAATCAAACAGTAAGATTGATAGGCATGAAAAGATGGAAATGGAATTTTAAAATGTGGGGGCTAACGCGAATATTAAGAACTAATCCATAAAAATAAGGGATTCTATATGCACACGCTTTTTTAGAAAATAAAAAGTAAATAAAAGAATCAAATAATAGTGGTTATTCAATTACGGTCGTAGCTATTTTGTTTTTTATTTCCTATTTTTTTAAAGTTAAACTTTTTTTTATTAAACTTATAAATATTATTTCTATGTTTTTTTGGTTTGTTATCTCTTTTTAAAAATCATTTTCAAAATCTAACTCAAGTTTTAGAAATTAAAAAAAAAAGGTTAATTTGACTAAAAACTCAATGGTACGAGAGTCAAGACCAGTGAAAGCACCTAAAAAACAAGTATAATTTTAGGGAAAACAAAAAAGGGATGATTATTAAAGTAGCTTTAATTTTTTGTTTTTAAGAAAATGGAAGACAGAAAGAAATTTGGTAGGCATCTTTCAATTAATTAGGATAATTGTTTAAAAGAATCCAAGCTCATAAATATAAGACATTTGGCAGAAAAATAAAATAATTAAAATTTTGAGAGAGAGAATAATTGGGGGGCATTTATGGTAATTTCAGAGAGAATGAGAGACAAAAAGTCAAATGAGGTTGGGAGAAGGAGAGAGTGGGGCCGCTGGTTTCAGACGCGGAAGAAACGCGTGATTTGGTTGTGCTGTGCCTAATCCAATGCCAAATGCCGTGTCCGGCTGAGGCTGACTGTGCTGAGCTGGCACTTTAATATTAAAGTTGTTTTTTTTTTCCTGGTCCGCCGTCCGCCGTCCGCCGCTTTAGCCTCCGCCGGACACTCCCTCGCTCGTTTCACCCCAGGGTGTTTTTTGGATTAAGAGGTAATTTAACGTAATATCAAAATACTTAACAAAAACCATTTTTAAGGGATTTGAATGGTTCATATGTGATTTAATAGAAAAGTTTTTAAAATAATAATAATACTTGATACTAAAATTCATTAATGACAAAAATATATAAAAAAAATCTATTTCACAATTATTTCATTTGAAATAGTGGTATATAAGCCTGTCGAAAATTGATTCGATCGACCAGACCAACGACGGTAAGTCGATTTTTAACCTCAATTAGTCAGTAGTAGATTTTGTACATACAAAACGATCAGTCGATCACAATGATACTATACGAAATTGATTAACCGATATATATAATTAAGTTCCTCAATAGCAGTCTATTTCATTCTCGTCGCTCTCCCCCTCCATAGTGTAGCTCCTCCCAACTCCCTTGTGCCGGTGAAGATGCCTTCATAGCGGCCAACCTCTAGCAACAACCCCCTTCACCCCGCGTGACGAAACCTTCCGATACTCTATCTCTTTCATAAATGTATTAAATACTTAAATATTTTTTAATCTAAAACCAACCAACCAAACTGACTTGTCAATCTGTTTGATCAGTGAAAATGAAGACAAATTGTTTTTTTTTTTTATTTATGGAAACCGACATAGTTAGTTCGGTGTCAGTTTCAACACCAAACAAACGTCGATTGACCGATGAACAAACCTAATTTGAAACATGAAATAGCCATGAAATGACATAAAGGTATATACATCTAAGTCGTCAATTACTTTTAAAATCAAGATTGCATAACGTATAATTCATGCAACAAATTTATATTTCAAAGAAAAAATGGTAGGTCATTTTCAATAAAAAAAAAAAGTGTAAACATTTCAATAATAGCAAAATTAGTATATCTATTATCTTCAATTAAAATCATTCCACCCGATTTATTATTTTTTGTTTTCATAAAAGAAAAACTTGCAGTTTGAGGTAAGTTTTCGTTCTCTTTTACTCGTGAGTTGTCGTAATAAAGTTTTCCTTTCTATTAACTCATAGGTTTGTCAAAAAATAATAATAATAAAGAAAGGAAAAAAAAAAAGAACTCATTGGTTTGAATTTAAAGCATTAATTTGACTTTAAATTACTCTCCTTTGCCTCTTAATTTCTTCTTTCGTTCCAATTTCAACCCTCTTTTTTATACAAACTGTTGGAGGCGAATCCTAGCCTGCCACGTGTCATGATTGAAAAGGTGAATTCGATGAACGCACAGACGAAACATGGAAATTGACTCCGAAGTACTCAGGTCGGAGGACAAGGTAGGACTTACAGTGCCGAGCCGAGGTGAGACGGAGTCCGTAACAATGTCCCTTCCGTACCCGACAACACGCCGCGATTTTAGGGTGTGTTAGAACCCCTGTCGGGCCCAGTTTCTATAAATAGAAACATTTGCCTTAAATTCAAGGTACGCAATCCTAAGTAGACTCGGCAGGTTAGCTTGGACTAGGACTAACTTGCTCGTCGGAGTGCTAACTTTGTTTTGCAGGTCTCAAGAAGGGTTCAGAGAAGGAGTGGGACCGCTGGCCATAGTTCGTCCTAAGCATTCCGATCTAAATCGTATCCGAGCTCGGTCAATTTCGGGCTCAAACACAAACAAAAAAGTTTTTCTTTCCGTTAAATATATTATTTCCGTTCTTGATATATATATGTCGTACTTTTAATTTAAATTTTCATAAAAGATCCAATTTTACAGGTCAGACTTTTTGTTTTTGTTTTTTTTTTTTTTGACAGTATAGTTTGGTTGTCATATTACACCAACTCAGCTGAATTTTTTTATATTGTTTTATTCAAATGATGTTATGCATACAAACTAAGGACTTCTTTTCAATAGTGTTAATTTTGAAATTCATTCTCAAAATAATACCACCTCAAACTTATTATAAAAAGTTATGCTCTAAAAAACTGTTTAAATATTATTTTTGGAATAAGTTTGGATGGTATTATTTTGAAATAAGTTTTTAAAATTATAAGGAAAAAAGGATGAAGGGCAAAAATGTTAAGAGGATGATATTCTCAATATGTAAATTTTGAAAAAACATGTGCTTTCTTGTATGGACATTCTAGAATACTTTAGCATTTGGGTATCCTACATTTCTACAAAACAAACGTGAGAATCTAGATATCCGTTTTGTAAGAATCTTGGATTCCCATTACCCATAAGATGAGCATCTAGATAGTGGCGTATTCATACTTTTATATCTGGGGCACAAATCCATATAAATGTATTGAGAAAAGATTAACCTTAATGCTAAACTTGGAAATATATATATCAATTTTTAGCCTAAACTTTCAATTTCATCAAATTGTCCATTAAACTAGGATAATTGTTGCAATATTTACCTTAAACTTTATTGTTGCAGTTTTTACTGTCTGATAGATTTTCATTTGAAATTTTGTCGACAAAACGATTCTCCTATGTGTCAAATGAATTATAAAACATGTATTAGGTATGAAATTGGATAAGATTCAAATAGAAATGATACTAGAGTTAGTTTTTCTTTTTCATTTGGTAAATTTTGACGGAGCTATTTAATAGTCTCGATTTTGTGCATTAATGAAACTTAAATTGCATTTGACTCTAATAAAATTAGTGAATTTTGTTTTGTTGAGGTTTTTGCCTTATTTTTATTTAAATCATGAATTAATTACTGAAAATTAGTAGAGGATAAAAATTGCAACACTAATCTAAGTCAATTCGAATTCTGAAGATACACTTATTGCAAATATTCAAAATATTAATAACATTGAAACTAAATTATAATAATCATTATGTATGATGTTATTGTTTTTTAGTATAAATACTAAAAATTCTTGTAAAATAAATAGAAAAATATAAATATGTATACATATATTAGTTTGTCTAAAATAAAATAGGATTGAATTACCTACATAAATATATTAAAAAAAAAGATAATAAAACTTAAAATATTAAGTAATATTTTTTAGAAAAATTAAATTTCTTATGATATGTTTAGTTCAAAGAAGAAATAGATGGAAACATTGATTAATTGATAAATGACTATATACAGTTATATTTACATGTTAAATTTAAATAAAAAAAAATTAATCAACAGTATAGGATCTTAGTTTCTTTTTAATTGAAATATAATATGCAGTATTTGTTTATTTTATTTTTCCAAATAAACTAAATTGACAGAAACATATAATATAAAATTATTATGTTAAATTGAAATTATTTAAAATATATTTTAACATATAAATGATATGTTATGGTAAAGAATATCTAATATAGAAAAGAAAGGGCACTAATATCAAATTGTCTGTATGATGGGACAGAGGGTAAACAAGTAACTTCCTCTTCAATTTTCTGTTTTTCTTTCTGGATACCATAGTCAGCGGGTCAACCAAGTCAACCCAGCCCATTTTCGAAGAAGCAATATTTGCCTTTTCCTTTTCTTACAAAGTAAGAAATCGTTAACAAATAACATTTTACATATATTTGAATTTGAAAAAAGAAAATACTCTAACTCTCTT